TGCACACCCCCTGGAAATCGAGCTTGCAACCCAGGCATGTGCCCTGACCTGGAATTGAACCAGTGACCTCTTGGTTCATGGGTTGATGCTCAACCACTGAGCCACACCAGCCAGGCTGCACCAGAAAATCAATTGCATAGTTTTGTGTGTGTCTTTATTTGTTTGTTTTTGGTGCACAAACAGACTTCTTTCACATCCCTACAAATAGGACAAGAAGTAGAGTGAAAGAGAACAAATATTTAAATATTGGATTTGCTAGTGACATCAGCATTATTATAGTGCATGCTAGAAATTATAGTGTTTATGCCAATAGGTTAAAAGAAATATTTTTTGCTACCAGAATCACCTGTGAAACTTAAAAAAAATAGCCTTATCTTATACTCACCTTAGAGATTCTGATTCAAAGCATTTTTGTGATACAGCCTGGACTTCTTTAAAAACAAAACACAACAAAAACTCCATATAGAGTTCTTGATAACTGAAAACCAAACTGCAGGATAGGAGGAGATATTCCTGAGTATAACAAAGCCACACAACTTGCTAGAATCTGGGAATTGGCCTATAAGTTATATAGAGGCCCGGTGCATGAAATTTATGCACAGGGGTGGGGGTCCCTCAGCCCGGCCTGCATCCTCTCCAATCCAGGACCCCTTGGGGGATGTCCAACTGCCTCTCGCAATCTGGGACCGCTGGCTCCTAACCACTCTCCTGCTTGCCTACCTAATCGCCCCTAACCCCTCTGCCTGCCTGCCTGATCACCCCTAACCACCTCTGTCTGCCTGCCTGATCTCCCCTAACTGCTCCCCTACCAGCCTGATCATCCCTAACTGCTCCCCTGATGGCCTAATTGCCCCTAATTACCTCTGCCTCGCCTCACACCTGGGACCCAGGATTCCCTCCTCCAGCTGGTCACAGGCACCCAGGACCCAGAATTCCCTCCCTCTGGCCAGCCACAGGCACCCAGGACCCAAGCCAGATTTGCCCAGGCTGGCCGCAGCTGCAGGGAACCATGGACGGGCAGCTTTGCCTGGGCTGAAGCCTCAGGCGCCTGGGATCATGGGGCAGGTGGCTTGTCCCTCTCCTAGGCCACATCTGCAGGTGCTGTTGCCCAGGACCATGGGGCAGGTGGCTTGTCCCTCTCCCAGGCTGCAGGCATAGCCGCTAGTGCCCAGGACCGTGGGGACCATGGGATGTGTGGATTGTCCCTCTCCTGGGCCGCAGGTGCAGGTGCAGCCGCTGGTGTTGGGACCATGGCGCGGGTGGCTTGTCCCTCTCCTGGGCTGCAGGCACAGACCCAGCCACTGGCGCCCAGGACCACAGGGCAGACAGCTTGTCCTTTTCCCAGGCTGCAGGTGCAGACACAACCACTGGCACCTGGGACCACAGGGCGTGTGGCTTGTCCCTCTCCCAGGCCACAGCCTGGATGGTCCCCATTCCTCTCTCCTAAGTGTTAAGTGTCTGAGCCATTACCATGTGGTGGCATGAGGGTGTGACAACTATTTGCATACTATCTCTTTATTATATAGGATATCAACCTTTTTTCAGGCTGTAAGAACTGAGGAAAGATTCATTAATCACACAGGCAGAAATTTCAAAAACCACCCCATTACTAGATTACTAAGTAACAAGTCTGAAGAGATATTTCCCTATAAAAATAAAGAAAGTATGGCCTTATATTTGCAAGATGGCTTCTTGCTGAGACTCGATACCCCACAGTTCAGGAAGGAAGAAGTAAAAGGACAAAATATATTCTTAGAAATATATATATATATATATATATATATATATATATATATATAGTTTTTATTGATTTCAGAGAGGAAGGAAGAGAGATAGAAACATCAATGATATGAGAGAACCATTGATCGGCTGCCTCCTGCATGCCCCACACTGGGAATCCAGCCCGCAACTCAGGTATGTGCCCTGGCCGGGATCGAACCATAACCTCCTGGTTCCTAGGTCTATGCTCAGTCACTGAGCCATGCTGGCTGGGCTAGAAAGCTTTCTTTTTATGTTAGGAAGAAATCCCTTCCCAATTAAGCAAGCCTCTGCCAATATCTCATTGATCAAAACTGTAATCACTATAATATAGCCAGCAGCATAAAAGATACTCTTACATTTGCTTCTGCTATTCTATCAATCAGGACTTGGTGTTTTTCTTTCTCTTCACCAATCCTGAGTTATCATTTCCCACCAAGACCTGAATGAGATGCTTAGGAAAAAACTCTGATTACTTACTGGCTCATCATATACCTATAGTGTTTAAAGTTATCATGTACTATTATTTGTTCTGTGTTTTCTGTGTATATTTATTCACCCTAATAAAAATGACACCAACTTGAATTCTACAGCCTACAGCTTAGTTACCACCTACCTCACACATACACACCAACATACATATCCTATAGAACCAAGTCCAGAATTGAGAAAACAATTGTTTAATAAACACCGTTGGAGACCGTCAACAACTCTCATAATTAGAGGACTCTATTTCATCCCTTTCTGTAAAATACACTATCTTATTTCTTATTATTTTGCTGATGTGTTATTACTAATGAAATATCATTTAAAATCATGTTTTATATAGACAGGAAAAAATAAGAATACAAAAAAAATTAAAATGAAAAATAAATGTGCCGTTCTTTGCTTTTCATGATAATCATATCACAGAAGCAACCCCTAATTTTCCTGCTATTATACTTTTTTTTAATTACAGTTTACATATAATACTATTTGGTATTAGTTTTAGATGTACAGCATAGTGGTTAGGCAATCATATACTTTACAAAGTGTTCTCTCTGATATTTCCAATACCCAACTGGCATCATATATAATAACTAGAGGCCCATTGCACGAAGAGATTCCCTTCCCATTGCACGAAGAGATTCCCTTTCCTCCAGCACCCGGGACCCAGGCCTTCTCTCCGGCCGGAGCCTTCAGTCTTCGCTCCGGCCGGAGCCTTCAGTCTTCGCTCCGCCGCTCTGTGCCTGCGTATGCAAATTAACCACCATCTTTGTTGAGTTAATTTGCATACTCTCCTGATTGGCTGGTGAGCATAGCAGAGGGACGTCAATTTACATGTTTATCTATTATTAGGTAAGATTACAATATTATTTACTATATTTCCTACGCTATACTTTACACCCCCATGACTATTTTGTGACTACTAATCTGTACTTCTCAATCTTTTCACCTTTTTTACTTAATCCGCAAAACCTCCTCACCTATGGTAATCAACAGTTCGTTCTCTGTATCTATAAGTCTGTTTCAATTTTATTTTTTCATTTATTTTGTTCTTTAGATTTCACATATAAGTGAAATCATATGGTATTTACCTTTCTCTGTCTGTCTTATTTCACTTAGCATAATACCCTCTAGTTTCATCCATGCCATTGCAAATGGTAAGATTTTGTTGTTGTTTTTCATGGCGAAATAATATTCTATTGTGTAAATGTACCACAACTTTTTTTATCTACTTGTCTATTGATGGCACTTGGGTTGCTTACATCTTCACTATTGTAAATAAGGTTGTAATGAACATGCAGGTGCATATATTCTTTTGAATTAGTGTTTTGGGTTTCTTTGGATATATTCCCAGAAACAGAATCGCTGTGTCATAAGGCAGTTCCATTTTTAGTTTTTTGAGGAATGTTCCATACTGTTTTCCATAGTGGCTGCACCAATCTGCATTCCCACCAAGAGTGCACAAGGGTTCCCTTTTGCCACATCTTCACAGCACTTGTTGTTTATTGATTTATTGATGATAGCCATTCTGACAGGTGTGAGGTAACATCTCCTTGTGGTTTTAATTTGCATTTCTCTGATGATTAGTGGTGTTGAGCATCTTTTCGTATGTCTATTGGCCATCACTATGTCCTCTTTGAAGAAGTGTCCATTCAAGTCCTCTGCCCATTTAAATAGTATTGTTTGTTTGTTTTTGGTGTTGAGTTGTATGAATTCTTCATAAATTTCATACAACACCCTATCCGATGTATCGTTGGCAAATGTTCTCCCATTGTAGGCTGTCTTTCATTTTGTTGATACTTTCTTTGCTGTGCAAAAACATTTTTGTTTGATATAGTCCCATTTGTTTATTTTTTCTTTTATTTTCCTTGTTCAAAGAGATATGTCAGAAAAAAATATTGCTAAGAGAAATATTTGAGGCCACCATTTTTAAGCAATTCAAAAAAATATATGTGTATACCAATTTTATCTTAATTTATCAAGTTTAAAATATATTTTAACTTTATTCTATAAAGTATGAAGAATGCATATTACCTCTCCTTTCCTTTATATTTCTTTTCCCAATTTTTGTGGGTTTTTGAAGTTATTAATTTTTAAGATTCTGTAAATATTGGTTACATTTATAATTATAAATGATATATTAAACTACTTCTAATTCCATTAAGCGAAATTCCTCACAATATTAAACAAGAAAATTAGTGACCCTAGACTTCCCACTACCTGTTTTTCTCCTGTTTCTCTTTTCTACTCGGTCTACTATTCCATTACCTCTGCCTTGTATGTGGTAGTGCAACTGATCAAAATAAGAACTGGCCTACCAAGGCCTCATGAATTCTAACAGAGGTCATGAGGGATTACAAAGCACTCCAACGCTCACTTTTACCCATCTTATTTCTTCCACCAAGAAGGGTCAAGAAAGAACCTTGGGCTCTCAGAGTAAAATGCCATCTTTCCTAACAGGGGCTAAGAGTGAGCATATGGCACTAGGTCCAAAAATCATGTCTCTCTGGAACTACTACTCTCCCCTGAGGATGTTCAAGTAGGCGAACTGTACACAGAGCATGGCTCACAGAGCATGACTCAGCTTTAGAGAAAGCTGTCTATCACTTTATCAATAGAAGTCAAGATACTCATCAGGGGTCCTCAAACTGCGGCCCGCCGAAAACATTTATCCAGCCCGCTGGGTGTTTTTGCCGCTGCTGCCTGCCCTGCTTAGCAGCCAACTCGTCCTGAGCCCGCAGTGCGCATGTGTGGAATGTCTGAGGGACAGTGAACTGGCCCCCTGTTTAAAAAGTTTGAGGACCTCTGCAAGATACTCTGATACTCAAGTAAGTTTCTGCTTCTCCAGTTTGCCTCTATAACACGGGGTCATGAAAGAGCCCAATGATGATCCCTCTGACTTTTGACACTCACCAACACTATCCACCTTGAAATTCATCAGAACTGATCTCATTATGTCAGTCGCCCAAAAAGCTTCAGAATTCCAAGTTATCTCTCATTTCCTTCCTTCTAATTTTCATGCATAATTTCCAGACACCTCCAATTATCAACCTTTTCCTCTCAAATGCCATTTCCTGAAATTTTCTGTCTTTCACTTTGTCTTCTGGTACTTAGAATCCCAAAACTATTTATATTCTCGAAATCATAAATGCACCTTCTTGTCACCACTGCACCCTAACCCAAATCCAAGTTTCTTCTGGGGATGTTGCTCACCCCCAAAACTTTTTATGTGGTACCTGTTTACTTTTTCTCATGTGGTAAGTTCTTACCCCTCTTTTAGTTTCCAGGCCATTCTCTCCACTTCCTTCCCTCCAGAAAAAGCAGCTCCAAAGTTAATGTCATCAGGTCCTAACCCTCAACTGGATCTAATTGCTGTAGTCATACCTACCCTGAGTTCCACTGTTCATTTCCAATGGTTTTAGCTCCTCTCTCATATTTCCACACTGTCCCTGTCTTGAATCACGGTTATTTTTAATACAGCTAGAGATGAAGTCTCAAACTTCACAAGACCAAAAATTAACTCTTACTTCTTCCCCACAAACCTTTTCTACCCAGTCTTTCTCATCTCAGTTGCTTTTTCCTCGTGGCACATCCAATTGTTCAAGAAATCATGTTTGTCTGAAAAAAATGTCTGTAGACAGTCTTTCAAGTAACTGGCCTCTATTTTGTCCAGCTACCAACTTACAATCTTCAAACTTTGAACCAGAGGCTCCTGCCTACATTCAGGGGCCTTCTAAGTGAATTCTGGATTACAGCTTCTACCAGTCTAGAAACACTCCCATTCCCTTTATATTCCACATAAGTAACCATAGTATATTGAGACCCTCTTCCGTTCTTCTTTTCCACATTCTCCTCACCATTGGGATTATATCATTTTTATATATTGACTCTAATTTCAATGTGATGAAGAATAAGGAGGAAGATATAGCAGTAGATACACATGGATGTTCATTCTAATCTCTTGAACCCCATCTCCATTATCCATAAGGCTCTTGTGTCATGTCTATAAATTATAAAGTAATACTGTATGTTTAGTTTTTGTTGGTTTGTTTTATAGAGTAGATTTAGTTTTAAATGTGCATCTTGAATTTTATTAAGTTCAGTTTCATAAGAGAAGCTACTTTTTAAAGGTTTCATTCTCTAAGATGGTTTATGGAAAATTAGTGCGTGTACACTAACTTAGGTCGCTGTGAATGGCATAAACATTGGTCTAAGGAGGCCTCCTGAATCTGGCAAAGTGTTTCTTTGACAATATCTTCACTACAAGCAGCCTTTAAGGACTAGTGTCTTCTAATATGACCCTTTCATTCTTTGGCTCAGACACTTGTTTTTAAGAAAAAGTAACCTGGTTTGAATTGCTGAAAATAAAATTCCAACAATCTTTACTACATGATTTTTAATAACCTGATTCAGTTTGTCAGTTTGCTGAACAAAATGAGCAAATATATGGCATGAATAATAAAGCAGGGAATGGGTTGAAAGCATGTGATGGCACATTGATGAGTAAACTATTTTCAAAGTCATGTCTGGAATAAATAGGAGGAGTTAAAGAATAATTTATAAATAAAAGAAGACAACATGGGCTTCTTTTAGTTGGAAGCAATAAATTTGAATAAAATACTTAAATATTCACATAGCAGGATGAGAATTCCAGTCTCTAACCCCAATAGCAAAGCAGATACTCAATGGAATTAAGTAGATTTTCATAACAGGGAATTTTTAGAGTCATTTGAAAAAGACAATGAAGGAAATATATTCTTATTGTACATAAGTTAAAAGAGAAATTGCTGTTTTAACATAAATGTAAAGTTGGCTGTAGGCCTGGCTGGGTGGCTCAGTTGGTAGGAGCATCAGCCACTACACCAAAAGGTTGTGGGTTTGATTCCCAGTCAGGGCACACACCTAGGTTGTGGGTTTAATCCCAGGGAGGCAATTGATCAATGTTTCTCACTTTGATGTTTCTATCTATCTGTCTGTTTATCTACCTCTATCTCTATCTCTATCTCTATCTCTATCTCTATCTCTATCTCTATCTCTCTCCCTTCCTATCTAAAGAAATTAATAGACATAGATTCTTGGGCGAAGATTAACAAAATATTTTTAAATAATAAAGCTGGCTCTAATCTCCAGTTCTTAAGGTTGTTATAAATGTCCATCTAAGGAAAACCTCAAGTGCCGTTGATGGCTCAGAAATACCATCAGTGAACTTTTTTCTTTTTACCTTAAGTAAAAAAACTTTTTTTAGGTTCTTAGACAAGAAAAGGTTACCTGCAGTACCTCTATTGATTTTTGCAAACAATTAAGTTATAGTGTGTTCTCCAACTCTGGGAAACATGAATAATAGGATATTACATTTTAGTATTCAATACATTATTATTCAAAATTTTGCAAGTTTGGTCCATTTCTTGGCCCTCATTCCCTGTAACCTTTGCCTCTGCAGGCACAGTTCCTGAAGTGGTATTTTCACCAGGTAGACGATACTTCCTCAAAATAATTAGGATAAAAATGGCTGGAATATAGCTTAATCCTCTTAGTGCTGCTGGCAATCCAAGGTAGAGGTGTCTGTCAAAAAAAAAGTTGAAACATATGAAATTTTATATAGACAGTATGGTGAATACAAACTAGTTTTGTAGATCTTTAATTTTCAATATTTTATTCCCATAAGAACAACAGCAGCTAATTGTTTTGCATGTTGATCATACATATGCAACTTTGCTTATTAATTTTTGTTAAAATGGTTTTCTTTAGAATTTTTCATCTAGAAAATCCAATTTTTTCTTTTTTTCTGATCTTTCAGTACTATTTTTATTTGTTTACATTGACTAGACACTCCAACTTAAATTTAATACTGACAGTGATTGGACCTCTGGTCCAGTGTTTAATAAAAATACTCCCAAAGAATCGCCATTATCACCAGATCACCAAAAATTTGTAAAACTTGCCTTAAAAGCATCTGGACTCAGTGCTTTTAGAGATGCACATTTTGATTGATTCCATTTTAATAGCTATAAAATATTCATGTTTTTATATATTTATAGTAAAATTTTGGTAATATATATATATTTGTTTAAAAAATTCTCATTCAATGTTTCCAACTTTTTATATCTAAAACCCATAAGTACCTGTACTTATATTCCCTTTTTCATTTTTAATCCTCACTGGAAGATATTTTTTTATTGATTTGAGAAAAGGAGAGAAAAAAAAGGGTGGGGGGACATTGATGTGAGAGAGAAACATCAATTAATTGCCTCTTGTACATGCCCTGACCTGGAATCAAACCCACAACCTAGATATGTGCCTTCACCAGGAATCGAACCTGCAACTCTTTGATGAATGAGACGATGCTTCAACCAACTGAGCCACCTGGCCAGGGCCCTCTTTCATTCATAATACTTTTTATTTGTGCTACCTCTATTTGTCTTTCCAGATAACTGCCATTATTATATTTAAAACTTTTCAAAAACACAGCTTTTATTTTTTGTTACATCTATGATATGTAGCCTATTGATTTCTGCTTTGTATTTTCATCTTTCTACTTCTAAAATTTTATTTTATTATGAAACATTTCAAGAATACAGGAAAAAAATTAAACAAGTCTTAACTTACTACCAAGGTTTTTTAAATGAATAAATTTTACTACTTTTATTTCAGACCGATTTAGCAGAAAATACTAATACATTTAAGTCCTCTGTGTACCCTATAATCCTAATGCTTTCTAACCCATCCCAGATATAACATTATGTTGAATTTTATTAATTTTGTTCCTCATTTATTTTTATAGTTTTACAAAGTATATATGTACACATTCATGATTTATACAATTATTTTATGTGATTTTCACATCCTATATAATAAAGAACTAATATGCAAATGGTCATCACGCCCTCACACCATAACACCATAACAGCTCAGACACTCAACACTAGTGAGAGAAGAATGGGGACCAGCCAGGCACAAACGAGCTCATGAGAGAGGAATGGGGACCAACCAGGAACAAATGAGCTCACAAGAGAGAAATGGGGACCAGCCAGGCTGTGGCCTGGGAGAGGGACAAGCCTCCCACCCTGCGGTTTGAGGCATCAGCGGCTGCGCCTGTGCCTGCACCTGTGCCTGTGGCCCAGCCCAGGAGAGAGACAATCCGCACACCCCGCGGTCCCAGGTGCCAATGGTTGTGCTTGCACCTGCGGCCCGGGAGAGGGACAAGCCACCCACCCCATGGTCCTGGGCACCTGAGGCTGCAGCCCTGGCAAAGCCGCCTGCCCATGGTCCCCTGCGGCTGCTGCTGGTGCGGGCAAAGCAGGCCCAGGTCCTGGGTGCCTGCAGCCGGCCAGAGGAGGGAATCCTGGGTCCCGGGTGCGGGTAAAGGCAGAGGTGGTTAGGGAAGATCAGGCCAGCAGGGGAGCAGATAGGAGTGATCAGGCCAGTAGGGGAGTAGTTAGGGGTGATCAGGCAGGCAGGCAGAGGTAGTTAGGGGCGATCAGGCAGGCAGAGATGGTTAGGGGCAATCAGGCAGGCAGGCAGGCAAGTGGTTAGGAGCCAGCAGTCCCAGATTGCGAGAAGCAGTCGGACATCCCCTGAGGGGTCCCGGATTGGAAAGGGTGCAGGCCAGGCTGAGGGGATTACATCCACCCCCCATGCATGAATTTCATCCACCGGGCCTCTAGTTTTAAATAATTGGCATAAGACTGCCCCATTAGGAGAACTTAATTCAAATTTAAACCAAATTCTGGTATCCAAATGGAACATGAAAGAACATGAAATAGAAAGAGAAAAAATAGAAGAGTTTTGTTCAAAAACTGGTTAATATCATGTGTTTTGTTCAAAATCAGATTTTGATTAACAAAAAAATAAGCCCTTAAGAGACATGAAGAATATTGTGTGAGTGAAATTTAATGACAGAGAAAATTATCACTTTGGAGATCAGAGGTAGTTGGTGAAAGGAAGTAAGGATTCAAGCTAGTAAGATGCTAAAATGATGGAGGATGAAATGGGACACTTTAGAGCAGCGATTTTCAACTGTGTGCCACAGGCACCCTGGTGTGCTGCAAGAATTTTTAAAACATGCAATACCTGACTAGTCAAGGGCACTGACCTTTTCTCCCTTAAATTTTCAAATAAAAAAATTACAACAGTCAATACAACAATAGCCATCCAGTGTGAATGAATCAAAATTATCTTTTATTTTGTCAAATTGGAAAATATATATATATATATATATTTTTTGGTGTGCCGCAGAATTTTAGTAATTAGTTTATATGTGCCAAGAGATGAAAAGGGTTGAAAATGGCTGCTTTAGAGAACAATATAATTTAGATAGGTAGCTTATATATAGCCATTACCTTCAATAATGTATTGACTGCAAACAATTAAACAAACAACATTTGAAAGGCAAGGTTAAGGAAATCATCCATGCTTATATTTATCAAGTACTTTGAAAATATTGAGAAAAATGAAATTCTAGCACATAAATAAAAAGTGGGGATATAGTATCAATATCTATTCTGGAAACAAAACAAAAAGTAGACTAGTCACTTGGCAAAGAAAATATTAGACACTAGAGGCACAGTACACGAATTCATGCACCAGTGGGATCCCTCCACCTGGCCTGCAGGATTGGGCCAAAACTGGCTCTACGACATCCCCTGGGGGGTCCTGGATTGCGAGAGGGCTCAGGCCAGGCCAAGGGACCCCACCAGTGCAGGAACAGGGCAGGGAGGGACACAGAGGTTGGCCAGCCAGGGAGGGACCGCAGGAGGGCTCCAGAGCATGTCCAGCCCATCTCACTCAGTTCCAATTGGCCAGACCCCAGCAGCAAGCTGACCTACTGGTCAGAGAATCTGCCCCCTGGTGGTCAGTGCACGTCATAGCGATTGGTCGACTGGTCAACTGTCTGCCCCCTGGTGGTCAGTGCATGTCATAGTGAGTGGCTGAGTGGCCTTAGCATATCATTAGCATATTACACTTTGATTGGTTGAATGGCCAACCAGACAACCAGACACTTAGCATATTAGGCTTTTATTATATAGGATGATTGGTGCCATTTTATGCAGTCTATGTTAAGAAAACAATTCTTTTAAAAAATTATTATCTTTACCTGAAGTTAGTGGACTCATATATCCTGCATGCTCCTGACTCACCACATTTAAAAGTTGCCCAATGTAAACATGTGGAGTCCATTAAAGCTCCAAAATATATAGGTGCAGGGATTCCAGCTACAATAAAAGAGAAAAAGAAAACTCTATCAAAAAGGTAAGAATTAAGATACATTATATTGTTTGGGAGAATTTTAATTACCTCTATTTGAAGAACCAACAAAATTAACAATATCTAAATTTAATACTTGACTTTTTTTTAGAGAGATTAGAAATTACTTTTACTTTTAAAGTTTCTAGATTATAAAGGATAAGTAATCTTGTGGACAAATGCTATACAAAACTATTGATAGAGAAAAACATTGAATTCATGAATATATTTTTTCTGCAATGTTTTGGGTCAATCATATGTACATTTTATTTTAACATAACATTTCCTGTTCATTTGATTTTCAAATCCAATAGATGAAAAGTAGAATTAAGTTTAAATAGGACACTTTTTAAGTAAAAGAAGGAAGTTCTCTAGTTCTTTTTGCACTTCGTTCTCATACTAATTACAGAGTGCTATCTAAAGCAGAAGGGATATTTGCTAGACTCTTACTCTGAGAGAGTGATTTAATTTACTTAGTATTTAATAATGATCTGATATAATATTGAAAAAAATGACTATTTTTACCAAATATTCTTGTGGAAAATGCATGTAATCCCACACCAAGAGACTTCTCTTCAGGCTTAATACACCTAAAGAGAAATGAATTCACAAATAAAATAATGAGATTTAAAACTACCATATACAATGGTGGACTATTACTCATCAATAAAAATGACTGAAATGTTGCCATTTGCAACAACATAGATGGACCTAGAGGGTATTATGTTAAGTGAAGTAAGTCAGACAGAGAAAGACAAATACTATATGTTTTCACTTATATGTGGAATCTAAAAAATAATACAAATGAATAAACAAATCAAAGAAGCAGACCCATAGATGCAGAGAACAATGTGATGGTTGCCAAAAGGGAGGGGTTGGGGATTGTGTGAAATGTTTTAAAAATAAAGCAACGTTTGGCCTGGTCAGTGTGGCTCAGTGGTTGAGCATCGACCTATGAACCAGGAGGTCACAGTTCAATTCCCAGTCAGGGCACACGCCCCCATTGTGAGCTGAATCCCCAGTGGGGGGCGTGTGCAGAAGGCAGCCAACCAATGATACTCTCTCATTATTGATGTTTCTATCTCTCTCTCCCTCTCCCTTCCTCTCTGAAATCAACACAAATATTTAAAAAGAAATCAAATAAAGCAATTTTTAGAAAATAAATAAAATAAAATGACTAGTTTCTTTTTTCTTAACTTTTATTTATTGATGTTATGGGAGAGAGGGAGAGAGAGAGAGAGAGAGAGAGAGAGAGAGAGAGAGAGAAACAGAAACATCGATTTGTTGCTCTGCTTATTTATGCATTCAACTGTCGACTCTTGTATGTGCCTTGATTGGAGATCTAACCCACAACCTTGTCTTATAGAGATGATGCTCTAACCAAGTAAGCTACTAGTACCTGGCCAGGGCCTACTATCATAATTTCTTAAAAGGACTGTTTGTGTGCTAGTAACACACAGAGCATTAGAATTTCCTTGCATGCTATAGTCTTGGTTATTCAAGGCCTGATTATCCAGTTTGTAGCCTATACAGTAGCCTCACTTCTGGTTCTTGGCATTTTACCCAAAACTTTTTCCTCATTCATTTCCATCAGAAAGTTATCAAAGGAGAAAATATTTCATATCAGCTCATTTCTATCCTTTCAATGAAGTAATAGTTCTTGATTCTAATGGTTCAACCTTTACCCTAAAACAAGAACAATGCAACCCTAGCTGTTTTAAATTATTTGTATTAGCAAAATACCGAAAAGTCAATAATTTACACAAGTAAATGCAAGGAGGAAAGAAAAAATACAAATTTTCAAAGGAAAGTGATGGAAAAACTCCAAAGCAAATATATGTTAAGTGATTTGGTATAATTTCAAGAGTCACACTGATTTCTTTTTCTCTCGAGAAATTCTCCCACCTTTTCACTGTTGCCTGAAATGCCTGTAAGTAGAAATGAAAACTGTAATTCCCCCGTGCCACTGTTTGCACCTCACTCGTTTCAGCATTGGCAGTGCTACCTGCTCAAAGAATTCACAGGGAGAGCTCCTCTGTATTCCACTTCCTTCCCTGATTACAACAAGGCTAAGAAAATAAAAGCAGCTTTCTTCACAAAAGGATGCAGTACATTTTTAGCAAACGCGTCATCTTATTGGTGTTTCCTTGTAACCTTATGATATAGATGTGTCTCTTTTTGTGTTAAATAATGAGAATTTCACTAAATTAACTCTTAGAAATAAGGAAGAAAAGAAACAAAGGGAAAAGTCAGCAGAGGAACATGTGTAGGGCTACCTTTAAAATTTCACAAAATTCAATAATGCTTTAATGCAAAACTCTGAATGAATGACATATTAAAGCATTGAACTCTTAGGCCAGTGATGGCGAACCTATGACACGCGTGTCAGAGATGACACGCGAACTCATTTTTTTGGTTGATTTTTCTTTGTTAAATGGCATTTAGATATATAAAATAAATATCAAAACTATAAATATTTGTTTTACTATGGTTGCAAAGATCAAAAAATTTCTATATGTGACACGGCACCAGAGTTAAGTTAGGGTTTTTCAAAATGCTGACACGCCGAGCTCAAAAGGTTCGCCATCACTGTTTTAGGCCCTGAGCTCCAACTGGCTTTCTGAGAAAGTTACCTTAATAAGTGACCAGAAAGGAATATAAATAAAGAAAGTAATTTGTGTACCTCAGGAGAACCATGTATCCAGGTATGGCAGATAAAGAGTAAATGAAACTGCTGATTGACGACAGGATTAAAAAGTACTGGAGCATCATGGAACAGTCATGTCCTTTGTCGCACAGCCCAAGAACTGCAGATGAATTTCCTAAGGTTTGAATGCAGCTACAGTTATGGAACACCTGTCAAAAAATAATACATTATCCTCTTTAAGGAAGAAAAATCTTAAACACAGATCTCAAATATTCTCTACATCCCCCATTGGATCAAAATGTAGGCTGTTTATTCCCTTTATTCTCATCTCCTTTATAGTGTCTCTCAGGATCATAACAAAAAGCGAAACATAGAAGGGTAGTTTCAGAAACATGGCATTTCTCTCTAAATATATGGAGTACATTTACAATAACTCACCTATCCTAAAGTCATGCTTTTTAAAAAGACATACTGTTTTTGCCACAATACTAAGTATCAGAAACAAAATTTGTTCCAGAATGCTCAGTTGGAATATTTAGATAATTAAGATAAGTAAAGCTTTGTTTTTAAAAGTATAGTTTATTTCAAAAACAGAGTAAAGTTAATTCTTTTTGGAATTCTTATATGTTTCCAGGTTTTAATAAGACTCAAAATTTATATTTACTGTTATCACCAGCCAACATTGTTAGGCAAGAAAACATGCCTAAATCCATCTTACAAAGCTCTCAGAATGTGGAACACACAGACAACATGTGCATACATATGCACAGAAAAAAAACTCCAACAAAACAATTTGCTGGATACTTGAGATCAAGCTGTCAACTTTATCTCAATGATAAAAATATTTCAGCCCAGAGTATTTTTAAAACAAATTAGCTGAGTAATAATGTCAACTGCTATAAAATTAAAGATCAGTGCTCAGACACTCTAAAAGGTCTAAAATAAGACCTAGGAAATAAAAAGTAAATCAAATGAGCATATGGGAAAAAAAATGTTTATTTTTTCTACAAAATAATTTGGTTTTGAAGAAAGACTATAATTGTACTTTTATCAAACATGGGCCCAGTTCACAGTTGGAAAGTGCCAATGCAGTTCATAAATCAAAATTTCTGTTAAAAAAAATAAAGGTAATAGATTATTTTACCATGTTCAGTCCTGTTCCAACAAATGTCTCACAACCAGCAAGACAAGCTGACATATATGACAAACCATTGCTTCCACACACGGGGTCCCATGTTTTAGTTGGACAGTTGCAATCCATGTTGCAATCATCAAGGATGGCATTTCCAATGTGTAAATCTTGTTGCATTCTGAAATGATTTAAAATAATACCGTGAATATTGAAAGACTATTAGACCATTTCCTCTTTCTTTTTTTTCATCTCAATCCACAGTTAAATTTTTTCTTCCCCAAAATAGAAACAGAAAACTTCCAACCATCAGTGTGTAGCCTGGTGATTATAGATAGGGCATAAAAGTTAGCTGCTTCAGTGACCACATAGCCACTTTTTCAATGATTTATTTTACATAAACAAACAGTCAATGAACAAGAATTAGTTGAGGGCCTACCATATGGGAGGTATTTTTTCAAGTATTATTAGAACTCGAAAATAAAGTTGCCCTAATCTCTATGGTTGATCCACATCATGGAAAGTAACAAGAGAGATCATATTCATTAATGCAATCTCAAGAGCTCACTTTAGGTCAAAATCTGGCCCTTCTCAGTGTGGCTCAGTTAGTTGAATGTCATCTCATGCACCAAAAGGTCACTGGCCCAGGTTACGGGATCGGGTGCATATGGGAGGCCACCGATAAATGTTTCTCTCTCTCCCTCTCCCTTCCTCTCTCTCTAAAATCATTAAAAACATATTTTTAACAAAATCTGTAAGTCCAACATATAATATAGATAATACATTTAGCTCCAGAAACATAACTACAAAATATGTGTAAACAAATATATTCTTCTAGTATAAAAGTGTATCAGGAACAACCAGTGCTGCCATCTTGATGACCACCCATCCAGGAAGCCCGGCCAGGGAACCTGGGCCCATCCTACAACCTCACTAAGGCAGGGAGTCAAGCTAGTAGCCCAGCTCTACTGTTAAGTATAGCTTCTGACTCCACATAACCAATAAGCCTGAGCATCCTCAGAGCCTAGCATAACATACTGCCAGACCGTGAAGCCAAGCCTACAGCACTGAGCAGCAGCAGAGCCCAGCCTACAGCCCTACCCAATGGCTTATCACAATTGGCAGCCTTACTCAGTCATGGAATCTAGCCAATGACCCCACTTAATCATGCAGTATATTCTACAGCCTCACTCAGTGAAAGAAAGTGGACTGTGACACTGCTCGATCAGGGAGCACTGTTTCTAGCATACCCAACCTTCCTATAGACCCAGAGAACCCTCAAAATACAAATCTAAAACTACTGAACAATGATACATAACTATACAAATGAAATGCATGAATTTATATGAGTTATTGTAGCATGTATCAGGATTGGGTTATGCTAAATTTAAGCTTATTGTGGAAACGTAAAAGCGATTGAAACTGTATGCTCAACTCTTAATTTGACCCATTTGTGAGAGTATAAACTATTTAGATAACATATCCCAATGCAACCTAAAACTATAGTTTCTTTTGATATCACTTTAATATCTAGTAGGATACTACAAAGACACACACATAGACACACGTGCAATCATAAACTCACCAACCCTGTGATATGTTCCTAACCTCTTTATTAAACCTGGAGCCTGAATACATTTGGTTGTAATTGACAGATGAAGGAAAGATGAAAGACCATAGATTGCTACCATTAGCAAATGGTCTGGTCCTGGATAATCATTGAAGAAAATATGTTATTAACTATTCAAGTGTATAACATTCTTTAGTAAAAAAAAAAAAAAAAACAACATACCCTTTATAACCGGTGGTTATGCCAGCAACTGAAGAATTATCACAGACCATGAAAAAACACGAAAAGTAGAGAAGGAAGTCAATGAAAGATAAATAACATGCTATGTGGGCAGCTTGTTTGACAGTAATTTTGAACTTTTTCATCATTAATCCGCCGAAAAGATATCCAATGCATATTGGAGGTAAGTTGTAAATACCTATAAATGCAAGAAAATTTTATTTACAATGTTACTTAGCAAAGAAACAAATATGATATTACTTTTATCTAACTATAGACTACAAAAAAGATATCTAACATGTCTTACATAAGAAACCATTTAGGTCCATTTCACAGTAAATATGGCTGATTTAATTTTAGCCCTACTTGTTAATGTTACCTACAGAGATATTTTTAAATGCCCTTCAATGTCAAAGTATATTTTTGAAGACCTATTGTCATTCATTTAATTGATAACAGGAGGATATAAATGTTTTGTAGGATCCAAGTAGGAGCAACAAGTAAAAGTTGACCGACCAGTAATTTATTGATTTCCATTTTGGGGGTGTCATTATACATATATATATGATTTTGCTGTTTTTTATTCCCATTTTGGTTAAGAATTTGGCACAGTTTAAGGTACTTTCAAAGATTACTGCCTGTAATTGTCAAAAGTGTATTTACAATACATGTCTTGCTGCTACTCCTCCCTCCACACAAGGAAAAAAGAAGAAAAAAGAAGAGACAGCCTTAGGTTGCATTCTTACATGTCAGGATCTGCCCATTGAATTACACCCTTGGAAGAGGTTGTTAAAAATCCATTCCAGAGCCCCACACCAGAGATTCAGTATGTCTGATTCAGTATGTCTAAGGTGGGCACCAGGTATCTGAACTTTTAACTAACACTCTAGGTGATGTGGATGCAGATAATTTAGGAAATTCACTTTGGAGAAACCTAACCGGGGAGGCGGGGGTGGTGTAGTCATGTGGTCACAAGAAAGTCAGAATATATAGGAAGTCAGAATATATAGGCTGCAGAGACACCTGAAACCACCAGAAGAACCATGGAATTCATGACTGGGAGCCAAGAGTAAAATCTGATAGTAAAACATTGACTCCTAATGAATTCACTCTCTTCCTTTTTTTAATTTTTTCATTAATGGATTGCCTATCTGAAAATGATAACTAATTTGTGCATTCCTCGAGATTTTCAGAAATATTTTGAATTTGTGTCGGAGAGACACCCTTTGTTGATTTCATTGGAGAGAAGGGAGAAATGTATCAGAGACAAAAATATCCTAACAGTTTTTAATTTAGGAGTTTCCTAGACCCATCATCACTCTGTTTACCATTTCAGGGGGGAGGAGGGGAGTGGGCTAATAATGCTGAGAAGGACAAACATACCAATTAGAAAGATTGCTTCTGAAGTTGACTTTCCATATTGCTGTTCCACATATTTAGGCATGAAGAACATCATATTAATAAATGCATTGAACTGTACCACACTTATTAGCAAAAAAAGCATGTAAACTGGGTTGCAAAAAAGACTCTTCATGAATGGTAAAAAATCTGAAAGGGAAGAAAGACAACAGTGTCAAACTAACTCCGTTCTGCATTTTCTGATTGACTTTTTCTGAAACGTCAACTTCCCCTCCAAATTGCTTTCCTGTTTTATAATGCACACATTGTTAACTCTTTTTACCTCTTAGAAGCTGAAGTTATGCCATTGTTTTTGGAGGCTTCTGCAAGTGGTGACACAGCTGACTAGATAGGTACCAAAACACAATAGTTTTGCCTTCGCTGAGTTACTATTGTGTCTTAAGGAAAAACTGCAATGTGACAAAATATTGTCTGTGTTCATACCACTTCCTTTTAGCCTTCTCTTTTTCCTTCTAATTAATATCCTCTCTTCTCTAGAGATCATCTGGAATGAAAGATATTTGTTCTGTTCTCTAATGTCTGGAAGAAAATCAACTTGATAAAGAAGTGCACACTATTATTGATATTATCATTCCTGAACATTTAAAATAAATATGTATGTATTTGGGAGTTCATGGAATATAAATTGTTTCAGGTACCAGGTATTTTTCTGCTTTTTCAGAACATCAGTTTTGGTGGTTCAGCCAATGGTTTACAACAAAATGTGCTTAAAAACCACGTGGGTATCTTTTAAAGCCCACTCCCTGAGATCTGATTCATTAGGTACATACTAAGGACCATGTATATAATTTAACCAAAACTTTTCCCTGTTTGTGTTCACTGCCAAAACTCAGAGCCAAATTTTGCCCATCTCTAGCCAATGCTCTGGGTCACACTGCTGCCACTTGAGGTCACAGTCTCACGGCTTCTTTTCACTTTCCGTCTTCAAGTTCTCTGTCTTGATTACCTTCCTTATTCTGTATTATCCTGGTTTGCTTAATAAGCTGCCTAAAATCCATTCTGGAACAAAGTATCAATAAAAAAACAAATTGAAAGAAGAGGACGCATAGCTCCATGAAAAGGGACGAATTCTAGTGGTAGAATTCATATTTAGGAATAAAACACATAGCAGGGCTGAGTTGTGTTCAGAGCTTTTTAAGTCACCCATTTTGTTGACATCTCTGTCCTCATAGATGAGTCTCAGCGGTTCAAATTATTTCCTATATTTCTTATATTAAGCTAAGCTCTTTCCTGGTTTTGAAAAATAATTCTATAGACTACAAACAATATTTTATGCTAATATCCTCTCTTAGTCCATACCATCTCTTTGAGAAAAGTTGTAATATAATCATGATGCCTGGGAATTTGCAAGATTCTGAATTGGCTCCCAGTGATCTGGGATTATGCTCAATTGTGGTTTAAGTGCATTTGTAATTGTTAATAAAAAATTCTGTGCAAATTGGTATTATAAATTGTGGGTGATTTTAGAAGTAGCAACATCAACAAATAATACTAATACTAGTTGCAATAATAATAATAATAATAATAAGTGCCTGAACTCCTTTTACCTTCACACAACTCTATAATTATAACTACCTCTATTAGCTCCATTTTATAGATAAGAAAACTTAGCCCTT